CAGGAGGGATTCAACAAAGGTTATACTGAGCCTGCAAGGGATTAGAGAAGTGCTGGGCTTCTGTGCTGGGCCTGGGATATCCTGGGAAGCAATAATAACTCCCTCTCCAAGCCCCTTTCTGCCAGTCCCCTGTACGGATCAGGGCATCAGTCCCACATGCGGTGGTGCTGTAAGAAAGGGGGGTGCCTTGCGTGCCACTTGTGGTGTAGGGATATGGCCACACATGGGAGCCAGTTGCCTCTGCCATGTGTTTGGCTGGGTAAGTGTCTATGACAAAGCAGGACCCAGGTCCAAATTTCTGCTAGAGCTGAGGTATGTTAAGATACAGATTTTTGGTGTAGTCTGCTGTGGAGATTGTGGCTAGCAATGAAAGAGAGATTGGTGATTCTGGGTTGGATTCATCTCAAATATGAGTGAAACAGGGCAAATACAAAAGCAAGGATATTGCTGGCTGCATTTTCACAGCGTTACATTAGATATGCAAAGAAAACTTCTGAGACCTTTTATTTTGTGATTATTTCTTAGTTTTGAGATATTGCAGTATCTGTATATTCCAATGAAGTACCGAAAGACTTGTCTTTGTATAGAAGATAACTAAAAAATTGCAGCTGATCTTGTATTTGGGTAAAACATTTGTAGATAGGTAATTGTATAATGTTAAACAACTTTACACTGGCATGTGTTGTATAGTTTATACAAGACACTTCACACTTCTGCAGGATTTTTTAGTTAGTAAATTTCTAGTAACTTAAATGTATAGTTTTGTATCCTTTCATGTATTTTCATTTTCTCAGTATTACCACTTGCAGAATTATTTTTAGTTTCTTAAACTGTAATTGGTTATTTGTGTGTGATACACAGGGTTATTGACTGCAGCAATAAAGTGTTTCTATTAAAAAAAAAAACAGAACAAAACAAAACCCTTATAGTATCCGTTTTGTTTGAAAAAGCATTAGAGACCCACGCAAGAGAAAAATTGAGCTCTGCAGTAGTAAGATGATCAAAGTGAGTTACTTTCATTGGAGTAAACATGGAACTTTAAGGGTCTTCAGTGTGGAAGGCCAACACAGCGTAGCATTCTGCGACGATTTGATGTTAAAATGATTCATAATGATAAAGGAATAGTTAACCATCAGAATAAGTGGGCAACTCCTTCAGTGCTGTGAGAAGATATGACTGTGCAAGTCCTTTGGGCTCAGATGCAGGAATCGTGGGGAGAATTTTCTGGCTTGTGCCATGCAGGAAGTTGAGGGAGAGAGGATTCCTGTGGGCCTTAAAATCTGGAGCTTCTGGAATCGATGCTGAGTGTTGCTACAAATGCTTCATGTCTGAAGTCAGCAGTCTCACATGCATCAGTTTCTACACAGAAGTGCAGAGCAGAAGATGCTCATTACTAAGATTCTGCTTTAAGAAGAAAAATAATTTTGCGTAAGCATGGAACAGTGGGTGGATGCGTTTATCCTTCTTTGCTGATGGCATGAGTGTGATTGCAGTGCTATGTGTGTTTTCATGCCAGGACCAAGCCTCAGAATGGGAAGTCTTCAGCAGTCCCTCTTGATTAGGTTTCTAGCACCAGTAGGTCAAGGAAAACATATCTGCGCTGCTGTGAGAAAGCTTGTAAAAAAAGCATAAATGCCAAAGGGCAAATAAGATCTGGAGAGTTGTGTCTGAAACAGACACAAGAAGTCTCAAAAAAAAAAATCTTTGAATTTCTATTTCTTTTGAAGAAGTGATTAGTTTTCCATTTTCTTTTAGGTAAGAAAGGGGAGGAAATCTTAATACTGCACCCCTAGAGAGGTGCCTCCCATGCAAAACAAAAGGCTCTGTCCTGTGTTCCCTTAGTGAAGCAAGTCTGGTTGTAGTAAATGAAGCTACTTACATAAAGCTTGCAAACCTGTCAGCAAGAGCTCTATACAAAAATACCGTGCCGGAGAGATGGTAAGGTAATTCCCAGGACCTGCTGTTTGTCTGGCAGTCTCTGAGATGAAAAGCTGATAGACGGTTTAAGGAACAGAGCCTGTAGAGCCATCTGGCTGCTGGTTAAAAAGTGCTCCTCATCTTGAGTTCAGGCACCTCGAGTTAATTATGAAATAACTTCTTC